TCAATCTGCAATTATCTTGTTTATATGTTAATTATGCTCACATGTGTAATCTGTTCATAGACCAAGAGGCAGTTGTTCAAACAGAAGAAAGGATACTGTGTGGTTTAAAATCAGGAAAAGTATGCATCAGACTTGTATCCTTTCACCATTCTTATTCAATCTGTATTCTGAGCAAACAATCTGAGAAACTAGATTATATGAAGAAGAATGTGGCATCAGAATTGGAGGAAGACTTATTACCAACCTGAAATACGTACATGACGTAATTATGCTTGCTGAAAGTGAAGAGCATTTGAACACTTACTGATGAAGATCAAAGACTACAGCCTTCAGTATGAATTACATCTCAATATAAAGAAAACAAAAATCCTCACAACGAGACCAATAAGCAACATCATGATAAATGGAGAAAAGATTGGTGTTGTCAAGGATTTTGTTTTACTTAGATTCCCAATTAATGTTCATGGAAGGAACATTCCTTCGAGGAATGAAATGATATATTGCACTGGGCAAATCTTCAAAAGGCCTCTCTATTGTGTTATACAACAAAGAGGTCACTTTGAAGACTAAGGTGCACCTGATCCAAGCCATGATATTTTCCATTGCCTCATAGGCATATGGAAGCTGAACAGTGAATAAGGAATACTGAAGAAGAATTGATGCCTTTGAATTATAGTGTGAGCAAAGAATATTGAATATACCACACTCTACCAGAAAAGCAAATAAGTCTGTCTTGGAAAAAGTACAGTCAGAATGCTCCTTAGTGATGAGGATGGCTAGGATATATGTCTCATATACTTTGGACATGTTATCATGACCCTGGTCCAGGCCCTGGAGAAGGATATCTTTTTTGGTTTCTACCAAAAAAAAAAAAAAAAAAAAAAAAAACCTCACTGCCATCGAGTAGTTTCTGACCTCTCCTTGGATTTCTGAGGCAGTATCTCTACAGAACTAGATTGCTCAATCTTCTTTCCCAGGAGTGGCTGGTGAGTTTGAACTGCCAGCCTTTTGGTTAGCAGTCAAATACCATAGGCACTGCATCACCAGAGCTCTAGTGCTTGGCAGAGGGTCATCTAAAAAGAGGAAGACCTTCAATGAGATGGATTGACACAGTGGCTTCAACAATGAGCTCAAACATAGCAAGGATTGTGAAGATGACTCAGAACTGGGCAGTGTTTTATTCGATTGTACATGGGGTCCCTATGAGTCACAACTCCAACATACAAATATATCCTCTTTTGCTTAGTTATTGTCTCTCCACTTGCAGCAGAATGTAAGATCTCTGAGAGCGAAGATCTTGTCTTTCTTGCTCACACCATTATCTCCAGTACCAGAAACTGTGCCTGGCATTGAGTATTTGTGGACAATACTGATTTCAATCAGTATTTGTGGAATGAACCAAAAAAAAAAAAAAGTCCTTATGGTTGACACCGTGATGTTCTTCATTTGCCCCTCCAAATCCACTGTCTACCATTTTCCATCTGGCTCTGCACTGGGAAGTTGAATGTTTTGGACTGTGTCAACTGGCCCTTCTTATCTTCTGACTTAGCAGTCAAATGCCTTAGGCACTACACCACCAGAGCTTGCTTTGGCAGAGAAATACTAGAAGAACACGGGACTGGGAGGGGGTGTAGGTGGAGGAGGAGGACAGTGATGCCTGGGTATCTTTTCTCCTGGGTCTTTCCATGGAGAGTAAACACAGGTTAGCTCTTTTACTTGACTGACTGCACTCTGTTTCTGGGTCTTGCTCCATTGCTTTCCCCTTTAGGTCTAGAATGTCAGAGGGAAGGAGGAGAGACAGATTAGAGTATTGATTTCCTCATCCCCTTTTTGTTGTCTGTATATCAGCAGCAGCTGTAGTGGGCCTTCCTCAGCTCAAGTCTATCACTTCTTCCATGTTAGCCTTGTTGTTTGTTGTTATGTGCCGTTGAGTCGGACCCGACTCATAGCGACCTCTCCTTGGGTTTCCGAGGCAGTATCATTACGGAAGTAGATTGCCCCATCTTCCTTCCAAGGAGTGGCTGGTGGGTTTGAACCGCCAGCCTTCTGGTTAGCAGTCAAGTGCCTTAGCCACTACACTACCAGAGCTCCCATGTTAGCCTTAGGGATAGTAATAGTTGCTTGCTTAGCCAACCTTGGGGTATTCATATTGATTTCATTAAACCCTTGCTACATGTTTTTTGGGGTGTATAGTTAACCTTACCCAAAGTATTTGATTTTTGTTCCTGCTCCTAGGAGGTAATTTTTAAACCCTTGGAATTTCCCCAGTGATTGGAGTCTTTGTTATTCATGGAAAGAGTCCAAAGCATATCTACCTAACAGGATATCCTAATGAGGTGATTCCTGAGTCAACTGAGTTTCTAGTCAGGCCTGAAAGACCCACCACATGATCCTAGCCCCACTTCAGATGAGGAAGGCAAAAGCTTGTCTTGATTGTGGGCAAGGATTCAATAGATTATGCCTACATAATGAAACTCCATTGAAAGCTCAGCGAATTTCCTGGTTGGTGAAAGATGGGTACTGGGAGGGTGATATGTCCCTTTTGGGACATAGAAGTTCTCCACTAGGGACCCTCTCAGAACTGACCCTCTGCATTTCTTCATTTGTATCCTTTTTGCTATATTACAACTGTAAGTATAGTGCTTTCCTGAATTCTGTTAGTTGTTCTAATGAATTATTGAACCCAAGTGATAAAGGGAACCCCTGATTTATAGCCAGTAGATCAGAAGTGAGGGTGGCCTGAGGGCCCCTAACTTATGGCTGGCATCCTCAGGGTATAAAGAAAACCCCCCAATTTGTAGCCATCATAAGAAAATGAAGGTGTATGAGGACCCCAACTTTGTGAATGTTGTCTGAAGTTTTGGACAGACTGCCCTTCAATTAGTGAGATCTGACCTAGTGTAGTTCTGGTGGTTAGGGTCAGAAGAAGTAGTACTGCATTTGCAGTTAGTGTCAGAAAGGAGATTTAGGATTTATTGGTGTGTGCCAGAGAAGACAGGCACACTAAGAGAGACACCCAATTTACCTTTGTAAATAGTCCCTTTACTGAATTCTCCTTAGTTACTTGCCATGTCCAGCAAAACTGCACAGGTCATGAAATGAAGTGACATGAAAGGATTAATGGTTTTCTTTTTCAATAAGGAACGGGGGCCAGGTGGACGCCCTGCATATTCTGTGAGAGTGACCCTTGATGCATCCGCTCTGCTTTTTTTATACATCAGCGAAGTAAAAAATTTCCTTATAACAATCAGTTATTAATTAAAAGTTAAAGTTTTACTCTTTCCCATACCCAAAGGCATTTTCCCATGTCCAAATGTATTGGATAATTAATTAGGTTAGCATCTCTTGCAGGATTAGCAAATAATCACTAAGATGCATCATTCTAAAACATAATATAATTGTTAAGGTGCATGATTCTAAAAAATGGTTTCTAAGGTATACTATTCTTTGGGCAAAACATTATTCCAGGGAGATAGCTTAGCAATCATTCTGCTGGGGTAATGTTCCACCCCAGGAACACAAAGCTGAAGCCAAGCATTCAACTGTAAGAGAGGCCTTGCCATCTCTTACTTGTAATTAGAACATGTGCCTTGCGATCATGTTTTTTTGGGAGGGTCTTTTTCTTGGTCTCCAACAGTTACTTCATTTGAACTTGGCATCTGTTTTCTACTGGACACTGACCAATAATTTATTTATCTGCAGACTGAGAAGTGAAGTGATTAATTAAGTGGTTTCTGACAGATCTGCATGTCTCCTGTGACTGGGCATTTTTGAAGCCAGTCAAGACAAAACTTGTTGCAGTTCTGAATTGTGTAAAGATGTACCTCCTGCCTATATGCAGTTCAGTGTGTCTGTGTAACTTTCAAGCCATTTCAATGAAATCTTGTCCTAAGGCTGAGGATGAGGCTATGATCCCTGAGGCCTAGGACGTGTATTGGAATTGAAACAAAGAAGGAGACATTCATCCCTTAATTTTGTGGGCATCCTCTTTTCTGAGTGTCTTATACATGTCAAATGCTAACCTCACCCCACCTTCATCCTTCCTGTGTGGATAAAGAATAACCCAAAAGAAATCTATATGTAGAGAAATAAACAATGAAGGATTGGGTTGATCCCTAAATCTCATTCACATTTCAGTGATGTACTCCAAATTTACTTAATCAAATAAGGTTGCAATGAGTTTTCTTCGGATCACAGAGACTCAGGATTGAGATGGACCTTAAGAGTCATCAATTCCCTTCCTATCAGACTGGCCAATGCTGGGTAAAGACTTGTCCAAGTCTTCCAAACTCTGTTTAAATAGCTGCTCCACAGGGAGAGTGCTCGATGTGAGTAGACTTTTTTTTAAGGTGGTTTGTTTGATCTTGGCTTGATTTAAGCCATTGTTTATGATAAAGTGCTTATGTCAAAAATAGGGAAGAAGATAAAACAGAAAGCATTGAAGTTTATGGCCCTCCCATGTGTCTCAAATTCCTAAACCACACTCTTAGGGGATTGTCTTGGATGCCACAATAAATCTCTTCCATTTGCAGTGCATGGCACATATTTCAGAATGTCATGGGTACATTGCACTTGTGGGGTAGACTGAGTATATGGTAATATCTTCATTTTTTCTGACAGGAATAGAATATGATCTACTGGTAATACCAAGAGAATGTTTGGTTTGTTCCTTTGACAATTGCAGTAGTGATTCTACTGTAAGTCCCTGTTCGTTTTTCTGCTGTGCCTAGGCATGCAGGTATCTTGACTGGGTTTTGAATATAGATCCCCTTTGCCCTTTTAGTAGCCAGGCATGGTAGGTGGTTATTTCTGTTATAAGATTTACCTGATTGCACCATACACATGTCATAATTTCCTCTCTCATCAAGATGGAACAAAAATTGAAAAGCATTATTCTCTTGCTCCCTCCATTTCCTCTTAGGTGCTCTCCTCCAATTGTTCACTCTTTTTGCATATCGCTAGTGCTCCTCACCTCTTTTCTGTTTCCTTGTGGTTTATAGATGATCATGATGCCGTCCTGAGGTTTAATGCAGCACCCACAGCCACCTTCCAACAAGATGTGGGTACGAAAACTACCATTCGCCTGATAAACTCTCAGGTAAAACTTCTCTGCAGAAAAGGAGTGAGAAAAGGCCCACAGTGGCTCTAAAGTGGAATGTATCTAGTAGGAGCATGTGACAGCTGCCAGCTTCATAAAGTCTCTTGACCCTCCTGAGTCCCAAATTTCTCATTTGAGAATCTCATTACCCAATCTAGTATATGTTCATGAGAGAATCTCTGGAATATAAGTCTGTATTGATGGAGATATCTCATGATTAAAGAAAGCAGAGAACGTCCAGAAGAAAGTGGGGCATATTGTGAAAATGAAATGAAACAATACATGTGTGGACACTTTATATGCTTTCAACTCTTATACAAGTATTATGAGACATCATCACCATTAGGATTATGTTTACTATGGCACTAGAATTCATGTACTAGTTCATAAATTCCCCTAGATAGTTTCCTGGATGTTTCCAGGAGCACATGCTGCTTTCTCAACACTAATGGAAACTTAAGAAATAGAGGTTAAATACTCTTGCCATAAAGTTCTATTAATGGATTTAATTAGTAGAACAAAACTGGGTTACATATATAGCTGAGCTGACATGACAGGGCTGCAAACCCATTCACCTCATCATGTACAACCACAGTAAATACATGAGCCATGGGTGTTTTTATGACAGTGTTTAGACTGGGTGTGCTTGTCTTATCAGTTATATACATTTTGCAATTTGCAAGGAGTTGTAAAATGTCTCCCATAGTATCAGAATCTGATAAGGAGAAATTTGTGTAGTAGACAATACATAGTTTTCTGCTGAAGCACATTATTTATCTGCATTCTCTAATCTCAGAGCTGAGAGTCGAGGAGTCTGCTTCCCTGGGTACACTGTCTACTCTCAATAAAGCCTTTCTGGTCCTCACTAGGCACTCTGAACTCCCTCTTTTTCCTTCATAAGCAGTGCTGACTATCTGGTGTGTTCTATTAACACTATCACAGGCACTGCATTGTGATAGACAATTCTTATCATCGCCCTCGCTCATCTTGATATCATAGGGAGCAGCAGTCTGCCTACTCTCTCTTTTGTCTGATTTGCTTTCCTTGTTATTTTGTGCTATTTCTGTGAATGAGAAAGCTTAGTTCCCATTATTGCCCACAGAGAGCTCCCGACATCCAGAAGCCGCTCAGGGAATAGCTGCTATTTTGGTAGAATGCTGCTTTTGAGCTCCTCCTTCTTTTTCCAGTCACAGAAGTTCTCCTGATAGACGCTCCCTTCTGAGGGTAGCCAGGACTGCATTTGTTTGGCTCACCTCCCTCACATGGCACAGGACAGCCTTGTGTGCATCTGCGCTGTGACAATGTGCAGGGAAAACATAAGGGTCTTTTCTTGTTTCCTCCCTTTCCCTCTGCCCCTGACCTTAATAACATGAAGCAAGGGTGTGAGGCTTTTTATAGAGAGCAGAGTCATACTGTGAGGTTTCAGCTCTACATTCTCATTTAGACTCTATACCCCTGAGCCAGGTGGTGGTATAAGATTTAACAGGGAAGTGGGTTGGTCTTTCTTGTCAAGTTAAATATGTGTCTTTAAATAAATTCTTCTGTGAGACCCAGCTGAGCACCTGCTGGGCTCAGTGGGCCTGAGAAGGAGACAGTGGGACCCGAAAACACAGTGGCTGTTTTGGAAGCTTTTGTACCCACAGAAGAGAGCAAATCTACCTCCTGTGCAGAAGGACAGGCATGCTGACTGGACTTCGACCAGGACATCCCCAAATTACTTAATGGGACTTATCCTGAAATAATAGCTGCTGGCATTTGTTAAATACTTCTAGTATCCAAGGGCCTTGCACGCATTATCTCATTTGATCTTCATGATAGCTCTGTGAGGTGTGATCACTACCATTATACATGCATAAGCTTAGCCCCAACAGTAAGTGATAAAGGTGGGATTGAGAACTAGGTCCCTTTGCCACCAGCAGTTTAAATCCCTAAAGCTTTCTTTAAGGTCTAATTTTTCAGCTCAAGATTCTGACAGGCAGCTGTCTGGATAACTGGAGAAATTTTCCTTCCATGGCAGGGTGAGCTGGATGGTTTTGATGGAACCTCTTTAATACAGTATTTTGCATCATGATTTGGGAGCTGAAGTGTAGCCATGGTGGATATCATGAGTTGTGGGATCCTTGATTAAGTGTAGCAGACATGTTCTGAGTTGCCTTATTTTTCAGAATTAAAAAAGGAGCTAAGACTTGATATGGGACTCAGCTTGCCCTCTCATATTCCAAAGCTCCAGGTTATAAGTGCCTTTGAACCTGCCACAGCTGCTCTCAGTTTTCTTCTTTTCCTTGGGTGGTCCATCCATCTGGTGTGCAGCCAGTTACCTCAGATTCCATTCAGTTAAGCAAATATGTTCCCACAACACCTCTGCCAGATATGGGGGAGAAGCAGGAAAATTAAGGTCTTCTTTCCCCAAGGACTGTAGAAATTATTCCCTTCTCCCCACAGAGGCAATCATGTGTCAATGAAAAGAGAGGGTACAACTCCTTTGGAGGCAGGTACTCCCTGACCTGGAAGTTTAGACAAAGGAAAGGCAGTCTTTGGCCTGGATTTCTATGAGGGCATTGCTGAATCCTCACAGAGTAAAATCACACCCTATATTTAGTTTGTGGAAACTCACAATCTTTGAAATAACTTCTTATCTGATTTCACTTTCCATTTTAGCTAAGCTATGGCCCATAACCAGTGCTTCTATCAGAATCTTACCCAACCTTAAAATGTCAACATTTGAAGATAATCTACTAGGAATTTTTGCATCTATATTCATGAGAGATAGTGGCTGGTAATTTTCCTTTCTTGTAATATTTTTGTCTGGTTTTCAGTATCAGGATAATGCTGACCTCATAAGGTAAATTAGGGAGTGTTTCCTCTTCAATTTTCTGGAAGTATTTTTGTAGAATTGGATAACTTCTTAAGTATTTGAATGCACCAGTAAAGCCACCTGGACCTACAGTTTTCTTTACTATGTATGGAACTATTCATTTTATCTAATTCTTCTTGAATGAGCTTCAGTAGTTTGTCTTTTCTGGAATTTGCCTATTTAATCTACATTATTCAATTCACTGGAATAAAGTTATTCATAATATATCCTCATTATCCTTTAATATTCTGTAGAATCTATAGTGATACCATTTGCTTTGAGATGATTTGGATCATATTTGAAATCACAGAACTGAAAAGGACTTTGGAGATCAAATATTCATTCATTCATTCCAGAAGTTCTTGATCATCTGCTCTCTGGTAGATTTTGTGAGCAAAACTGAGATTCAGCAGCCAACAACAACAGTAAACCAGAAACCAATGTTTTCTTTCCTTGTGGAGCTCAGGATCTCGTCAGATCATTTCAGTTTACAAATGAAATAAGAAGGGAGGGTGACCCTCACAATTGCACATAGATTATGGCAAAACCAGGACTGGGTGGAGCCCTCTTAAATCCTGGTCCAAAGCTCCTCCTTGGCTTGCTGGTGACAACCTCCAGGTCCACTTTTTCAAACTCCTATTATCTTTTTTTATTCATCTCCTTTATTACCTAGCTCTCCCACTATCAAGTAAGGTCTATGATGGCAGGTATTTTGTCTGTTTTGTTCACTGAGATACTCAAGTGTCTAGAACAGTTTTCATTACATAGTAATCTAGAAAACCCTCTGCTCATTTAATGAATTATCTCTAAACTTCCTCCAGTTTATTTTCTTAGTTTTTATACTTTTTATTTTGAAACTCTTTAAAGCTTCTAGAAGTTTCAAGAATAAGACTATAACAAAGAATGTCTTTATAACCTGTACCCAATCTCCATTATGATTCACATTTTACCGTTTGTTGTATCATCTGCTGCAACTTTCATAACATTCTTTCATTTGATAGTAAGTTGTATACATTATAGCCCTTTATCCCTAAATACCTTAGTGTATATTTCCTAAGAAAATAACCAAGGTACAGTTATCAAATTCACACATTTATATAGACCTGTGTTCTTTTCTAATCTGTCTGTATTCCAGTTTTGTCAGTTGCCCTAATAATATCCTTTGCACCTGTTCTTTCCCCTGAGTACAAGATCCAATCCAAGATCAGATTGTTGTTGTTGTTAGGTGCTATAGAGTCATCTCAGAACTAAACACTGTCATGTCTTGTGTCAGCCTCATAATCCTTGCTGTACCTGAACCCATCATTTCAGTCACTGTGTCAATCCATCTTGTTGACCTTCCACTTTACCAAGCATGATATCCTTCTCCAGAGAATGATTCCTTCTGACAATATGACCAAAGTAGGTAAGATAAAGCCTGGCCATTCTCGCTTCCAAGGACCATTCTGGCTGCACTTCTTCCAGGACAGATTTGTTAGTCCTTTTAGCGGACCATGGTACTCTTAGTATTCTTCTCCAACACCACAACTCAAAAGCATCAACTCTTCTTCAGTCTTCCTATTCACTGTCCAGCTCTCCCATGCATAAGAGGTGATTGAAAATACCATGGGTTGGGTTAGACACACCTTAGTCTTCAAGGAGACATCTTTGCTCTTCAGCACTTGAAAGAAGTCTTTTGCAGCAGATTTGCCCAATGCAATACGTTGTCTGATGTCTTGACTGCTGCTTCCACTGGTGTTGATTGTAGAACCAAGTAATATGAAATCCTCACAACTTCAATCTTTTCTCCATCCACTGTGAAGCTGTTTATTGCACCAATTGTGAAGATTTTTGTTTTCTTTATATTGAGGTGTAATCCATACTTCAGACTGTAGTCTTAATCTTCATCAGTAAGTGCTTCAAGTCATCCTCACTTTCAGCAAGCAAAGTTGTGTCATCTACATATTGCAGGTTGTTAATGACTCTTCCTCCAATCCTGATGCCATGTTCTTCTTCATATAATCCACCCTCTCAGATTATTTGCTCAGCATACAAATCGAATATTTTTGGTGAAAGGATACAACCTTGACACACTCCCTTCTTGATTTTGAATCATGCAGTGCTCCCTTGCTCTCTTCCAATGACAGCCTCCTGATCCATGTACAGG